TCTCTCTCTCTCTCTCTCTCTCTCTCTCTCTCTCTCTCTCTCTCTCTCTCTCTCTCTCTCTCTCTCTCTCTCTCTCTCTCTCTCTCTCCCCACAAGCACATATGCAGGGAGGCACGAAGGTATGTGCAGGGACATACGCATGCATGCGGGAATGCAGTACACAGTACTACGCACTCACGAATGCTTGGAGGCGCACAGGCAGGCACGCAGACGCAGACGCAGACGCAGATGCATACACAGGCACTCACACATGCTTATTTCAGAAGTGAGCGGATGAGGAGTTCTGGCTATTGGACGTTGTGGTTTTCCACGATCAAGTTTCGACGAGTGTGGTCTTTTCGTGTGGCAATTTCATGAATTCACGTCCGTGGTGATTAGAATGTATATATGGCCTCCTGATGAGTCAGTGGAACTCCGACGAAACAGTTTGTCACAGCCCCTCGTTTGTTGTCCTCTTCTCCCTCTCTGCCTACGGTTTACCGGGCAGTTCTATTTGACGATATATAATATATAATTATATATATTTTTATGCTCTCGTTCGTAGGGTTTTGGCGCTCGTTCGGGTTTGGTCGCAAAAAAAAGTTCGTTCTCTGTCACCGAACGCGGGGACACGATGCTACGCAGATATGAGTATTCAAATACTATTCATTGAAGTTTCTGAGCTGCGCTGATTTGGTGTTCCTGTTCCATATCTGGCTTTGGTGTGAATCTCCCTGTGGGCTCTTATTGTGCATGTTGTGTGGAGAGTGAATCCGAGCGGATCAATGCATATTTGTGAGCCGCTCTTTATTTGAAAGGGCGAAGCACTCGGCCCACTTTCATGCTGAAAACAAAATATAGAAAATAAGGTCATGATACCCCTATGGCTCTCTTATCTATGGTACAAAATTCCAAATTCCAAATTCCAAATCCACTTTGAAAAAGATTAAAAAAAAAAAAACAAAAATGGGCGTGATAATCGCCGTGATTGGTTTGTTCCTTTTTTTTGTGATCGAGGAGCCTTTTATTTTTCTTTTTTTTCCCTTTTAACTCACAACACACATGGCCCACCTAATATGGGGAGCGCCAGTCCGGTTGCTCATGACCGGCGCAACAAAGATTAAGGATTTTTTTTTGAACTTTTTCTTCACAGCGCACTCACTCTAAAGAGTCTAAACTTGTAATTTCTAAATATGCCCCTCCCGCCATATATGTCTGCAGGAGTTGCAGCGCGTTTGTAATCATTTGGTGCCTCTCTTTTTTTTTCTCTCTTTTTTTGGAATGGAGGAGAGGTTTTTAAATTCTAATAATTTATTTTTTGGGGGGTCATCCTTGAGCAGGGGTGATGATAATCTTCTCTGTATCGTTATTCCGGGAATGGTCCTTGGCGCTGCTGAGGGTATCTTACTATTTCGGGAACAGATGTCCCAAAGGACTTGTAAATTCTAATCATTATTTGCAGCTGGTGGTCTTTTTTCTTCTTGTAAATTCTAATCATTATTTGCAGCTGGTGGTCTTTTTTCTTTCTTTCCTTTCTGTGCAGGCTGCTGCTGAGGGTATCTTACTATTTCGGGAATGGTCCTTGGCGCATGCTATGGATTCGGGTCGGATATGATCCACGTAAGGAGCCGCTAAGCCGCATGTATGTGTTCTGTCTGCAACCGCATTCGTTGCATCCCAGCGTCTCTCTAGTCTCTCCTCCCTCCTCTGGCTTTCTCCTCGTCTCCAACTCCCATAGGTGTGATTTTTCTTCTTCTCCCCCACCCCCCCCTTTGTCATCGTAATTCTGTTGGCCTCTGGGAAATATTGCCTTTTGCATGAAGCACAGACATGCTTTTTCTTGTTTTCACTGTCCTGGATTGAAAACACGCCCCAGCGGACTCTCTCTCTCTCTTTTGAAATTCGTTTGAGTCTACCATTCTGCTGATTCTGCCGTGGTGAAAAGACTTGTGTCGAGTGATGCAAGTTCATGGACTTCTCTCTCTCTCTCTCTCTCTCTCTCTCTCTCTCTCTCTCTCTCTCTCTCTCTCTCTCTCTCTCTCTCTCTGTCTGTGCGTCTTTTTTTTTCCCCTGAAATTCGTTGAGTCTACCAATCTGCTGATTCTGCGGTGGTGACAAGACTTGTGTCACGGATGGCGATCGATGCAAGTTCATGGGACGTAGTCCATGCGTTCAAAGTTCAAACACATTCTGCTGTGACTAATGTTTTTTTTTCCCTGTTGGATTTTGGTGTTCCTGCCCCCATTCCGTGTCTATGTACATGTACGTGGGATGACAGATATCAGCTCCTCGATCTGAGGCTTCCGCCTGATTGGGTGGAGGCTGGGAGGGAGGCTTCAGAGAGGAATCAGAAGCGGGCTAGCAATCCAACTGAAGCCTCGAAGGAGAATCCCGATCCCAATCAGATGCAGCAGCAAGGCGCTTCTTCCAACGTGTCAGAGCCCCCTGGCTCTGCAGTGGATGCATCAGATCCTTCAGCGGCCACCTTTGCGGCTCCAATTTACAGGTAAAACTTCCGTAAAACCGAAAAAGAAAGAGATATAATAAACTATCAGGGTTATAATCTGGCATGGATACCATGGATCTGATCCCGGCCCCATATCCCCACAGAGGCAGGGTCCCCTACAAGAAAGTTTTGGTTTTGCTTGATTTTTTCTTTTCCCCTCTTGAATTTCATGAAACGATTTCACGGTTTTCACTGCTACATGCCGTGGTCCCAGTTCCAGTTCCAGCTCCAGTCCCAGTCCCAGTCCCAGTCCCAGTCCCGGCTGCGATGTATCATATTCCCGTCTCCTAGGTAGGTTAGTATCAATTGGCCAACGTAAGAAGATTCCGGTAGGTACCGGTAGACTTAGGGAAAAAATCAGTCTCAGTCGGTAGGACTTTTTTGTCTGTCGGTCCAGTCAGCAGTGAAGGCCTAGGAAAGTGAGTACACTCCCGGATGCGGCAAACATTGACAGAGGGACCCGGTAGAGGAAGGGCCTCGCCACACCACCCCCAGGATGTCCAAAATGGAGGATGTATGTTCCACAAAAAACATTGAAACATACATCCGCCTTCGGTTTTGTCTTTTCCCCATTTCGCGAGTGGTGTGGCGGCGCCCGAAGTCCAAAAGGCCAATTGTCAGTCAGTCCAGTCAGCAGCAAGTCTGTCAAATTCCCAGAAGCGACAATTATCGCCAGAGGGACCGGGTAGAGGACGACCAGAAGGCCAGTCGTCGGGTACAAAAGTCCAGTTGTTGAAGTCGTCAACCTGATTTTCACTTGCGTGACCAGGTGGGAGCGCTGCAGTGCTATTTTGAGATACATTGTTGGGCGATGCTGTAGGAGCTGTCAACAGTGCTGGGTCGCCCGTAGCCACAGCTAGGTCGATTCGGGCAGCGTGAGTGACGCCGAGTAAGATTCAGAGAGGGAGTGATGCCCGCGGTGGAGTGAGACAAGGGCGAAAGAAGAGATAGAGAGAGAGATACCAGCCATTAGCCGCCCAGCATGTACGCAGACAATTTTGTCTAATTGAGTTGATTGCCAAATAACCGTGTTCAAATTCACGACCCCATGTGTGCTTTGTCTGTATGCTTCAGCTGGTGTGAGTTCGGTGTCAAAAGACTCTCAAAGCATTCGTTCCAAATTTCAGAATAACACACGTCTGAAATTGAGCCTGCCGCATGAAGCCCCCGGCCGGACTTCCTCCCTGGGTTATCTCCCCGGCACCTCACAACCCCTTGAAAAAAAGAAAATAAAATAAAAAAATGGTCTTATTGCATTGTGGCCTGGGCTACCAACCGGACCGCCCAGGTGACCTTTGGTTGTCCTGGCAGCCCGGACGGGCAAGGGCCAGGCAAGCTCCTTGGGGGGAGGGGAGGGGGGGGGTGGAATGTGGAAAACAAAAATGTAAGGACTGTGTCCTCAGGGGGCCCTAGGCAACATGCATATGTTCTTGAATGTGGCCCCCAGCAAGCCTCGTGCCCGCCTTAAGTGAAGGCGGGCCTGATTATCCACGAGAGGCCCTTATCTCAGCATTTTTCCAATGCTTGTCTCAGACAATTGCTGCACGACAGTCGGTTGAAGTACAACCTGGGCCTCACCCTGGGCTCTTCCAGAAGAAGCAGCTGCGCCAGGCAGTTGAGCCCAGGACACAGGTGGTTGCGCCCTGGGCACACGGAGTGTGAGGCTGACACATTACGAAGTGGCCACGGGCCAACGAGAAAGTAGCATTGTCATCGTATCTACCCCGTGGTCCAGTGCAAGTGCAACAAACATTTGGAGCCTGGAAAATTCTAGGTGTGCCCAACTGAAAAGGGCCCAGGCCCTCAACTGTCGAGATGGCCCTGGGCGCAGACACTTGCGCCCGACCGGAAGCTACTGGAAACTTCCACCACCAGGCCCAGACAGTCCAGCAGCAGCAATCTCTCCCATATAGGGAGGAGGCTGGCCAGTGCTGGCCATTCTGGCCTAGGCAGGGAATGCGGACATGCTGCTGCGACGCTGCACAAGTGTCTGCATGTGCGCTGGCTGGCTGGGGTGCGCGCAGGCGCTAAGTGGTGAGGGGCGCTGCAGGGCATCGGGACGGGGCACTAGCAGCCATAGCCGGGCTGCAGGGTGCGAAGGCAGAGGAGGGTGACGGTGGCCTTCAGGAGGAGGCACGAGTGTGGGTGGACAGTGGATGATGAGGGGAGGCGAGAGTACGTACCTGATGTATGGGGGAGGGTGGTGTCGACGTCATGTACTTTGGTCTTCAAAGTCGAAGTGAGCCTATTGCATGACCCTAGATAGGATAGATAGCACGGGTAGAGTAGGCTGGGCGCTGGGCGCCAGACAAGAGGAGCGACATTGAATACTGCATTGGTGTGGCTCACGAGTTCATTGTATTGCTCTTAATCAGATGGGATCTTGGTGCATCTGAGCTCTCTGCTTGTTACATGACTATCTGGACTTCTGCGTGATTTTGCAATTTGGTTTTCTGTCGCTGTCGCTCATATTCCTTGCAAAAACAACTTTTGCCTCAGGGTCACATTGAAATTCTTTAGCGAAATTGAAAAGAAAAAACGAGTTAAAAAAAACTTGAAAAAATAAATTATTGCTTTATTTTTGTTGGCCTGCCCGGGCAAGTGGTCCCGGGCCATTCCGGTACCCTAGATTGTGGCGCAACATGTTTCCTTTCAAGACTGTTTTTCAATTACATTTCGACCTGAAAAATTTCTTTCGAAAACATATTTCTTAGTTTTTGGAGTCTGATCCTGATGCATCCCAACATCCTGATTCTCTGCACTTGGACAATGAACTGTCTGAACATCAGTCTCTCTCTCTCTCTCTCTCTCTCTCTCTCTCTCTCTCTCTCTCTCTCTCTCTCTCT